GGATGAGTAGATGGATGGGCAAGTGAATGGATGGATAGATGGATGGATGGGTGGATGGATGGATGGGTGGATGGGTGGATGGATGGGCAAGTGGATGGATGGATGGATGGATGGATGGATGGATGGATGGATGGATGGGTGGATGGGTGGATGGGTGGATGGGTGGATGGATGGGCAAGTGAATGGATGGATGGGCAAGTGGATGGATGGATGGATGGATGGATGGATGGATGGATAAAGAGACATCCTTCAACTCACCACTTCTACATGGAGAGCTCCCTCCCAGGAAATTAACTCAAAAGAGCTTCGCACATGCAAGGTGGGACTTACAGTGTACCCTTAACAATAACAACAAAAGGACACCTTTCAATCCCCATTTAGTGCACTGGTCTAGTAACACATGGCCCAAAAGATAGTGTGATAGTACGCGCCTGTGAAAATTACTGTGAGAAGGCACAGAGAGAGTCCGTGATTACAGGCTGGCCTGCCACACAGTGCGTAGCCATAACTGGTACAGTGTCAGGTGTGTGCACCTCTGCAAGGACCAGGGGCTGCGTGCCAAGGCCACATGTTGTATTTGGATGGTGGATTGTACGTGGTTATCTACAAAATTTAAAACCAGCTACTTGTGTCATGTTTTTAACAGTAGAGTGTAGGAAAAAATTGTGCTGCATATGACACAACCATACAGCAGCGAGACTTATTGGATGATTTTCTCCAATAAATCATCAGTCCCAACCCCCATGGCTGCCCGTCCCTCTCTCCTTAGGTGTGGCTCTGCATAAGTGCACCTTGCTCTTACCTGCTCCTGTCCCCGTCTGCCACCTCACATGGCAGGACTCAGTTCTTCGTCCCCACCCGAATGAATGAACGAATGAATGAATTGTTGCTGAAGCATCCCCAAAGATGGCCAAGGACACAGGCCTGTAGTATCATAATGACGTCAGGTGAAAGGGAAGAGCGGTTGGAACACACCCTGGATTATGTCTAAATCACTGAGCCACGGAGCCTGAAGGCAGAGAACTAAGCTTGCGAAATTTAACATAAAATATGTGCAGGATCAGTGTAAGTCAAATCTGCCACGAAGCTAACGAGAGAAAGGGCAATTTATCTTCCCCAGCTGGGGCTGGCTTCAATACCCACTTGAGTCCTTGCTTCTGGTGAGTAACGAGGCTCCGATAAGAAGCTGCGCCCCTGGCTGTCCCGTTGCGCCTTCTCTCCCCGTCCTCACTGGCACAAGGGGCTTAGCTGAGACCCGAGACATGTGATGACCCATTTCAAGACCCGGGGCCCAGCTTCCCGGCTCCCACTGGCTCCGTCCTCCTGCCCCCACCGCGCTGTCTCGACCGTGTCAGATGCATGGCCACCTTGTGGGGTCTTGGAAATATCAGGCTCTAAAACTCGGTCCCAAGACCCCCAGGACTTGGCCAGCGTGATGGAACTTTCAGATGCACCTAAGACCCTGTGTCCGTGATCTTTTCCATCTCCTCCACTGAAGCCCAGGCGAGACTGGTAGCTGACAGCGAGTTACAGGCAGCCAGTTTTATACCTGCCTCTTGAATCTAAGGAAACTGATTCCATTTGCAGTGCAGATATATTTCCAAGATGAAGAAGGCCCTGCTGGGGCTGGGCAGTGGCAGCCTGAGGGGCTCGGTGCCTTCCACAGGTTCGCCGTGCAGCCAGGACCCGGGGCTGGGGCCCAGCACAGCTCCGCTCCTCCATGGGGGCCAGCAGCGTTTCTCCTTGGCAGCCTGCTACGATCTGAGCTCCCCGCCCTCATCTACGCTGCGCACATATTTACTCTGAAAGGGGGATCATTACAGCCTCGAAGCTGGTCCAAGAAATGCTGAATGCCTCAATTTTCTAAAAATATGTATCTCCAGAAATGTTTTCATTTTTTTCTCCTTTCATTTGCTTTCATTCGGAGGCATTAAGCAGCAGAGAATGGTTGCAGTGACATGCTGTGGTTTTGTAATGTGGGCAGAGTTCAGCATCTACCGGGACAGGGACCTGGATCCTGCTGCTGTCCGTTCACGTCCGCGTACCTGACCGTGGCTCGCTGTGTTAAGTGCTCCCATGTCGCAGGAGCGGGTTCCAAATCAGAGGCCAGCGGGGAACATTGGACATCGTCAGGGAGTTTCACTGTAAACGCCACTGTGTCTGCCCACGCCGAGGATTCCCAGTCTATCTCCCCTCTCCCAGGCTTCTGAATCTCCTGTGTCTGCAGACTGTTTAGCCCAAGTGTGGTTGAGGGACTGTCCTCGCCCACAGATACCTACTGGAGGTGGCAATTTCCAGAGGGACACAGGGCTCGGAATTGACAGTGCATTTTTGTCCTGGAGGAACAGCGGGAGGCTCCGTGGCCTCTGAGCCCATCAGGCGAGTGCTGTCCTAAGTCGGTTGGAAGGAGCTTTTGAGGGACCTGAGGTGGAGAACTTAGAACCAATCCTACCTCGGGCAAGGGCAAAGCTGCTCACGCCTGAAGATGTCCACGCTTTTCTAGTCCACTGACAATAATATTGATGAAGTCCGGGAAGAAGTTTCCTGCACCGAAGAACTGAACAGAGAGACCCGGGGAGACGCTGCAGAGTGGGCCTGGAGCCAGGCACTGAGCAGGATGCCGCCTCTCTCACCACCACGGAAGGCCTCGTCTTGTCCTCAGCTGCCCTTTCCTGTGCTGTGCCTGGGCTTGCTGAGCCCCTGCAGGGTTGTCTAGAAGGTCAGCGTGGGAACGTGCTTGAGGGGACGGCTCAGCTCCCGCATTCCCAGCCGAGGCGCGCAGATGGTGGCTGTGATCAACGAGTGCTTGACCAAAATGTGACACGTCCCTGGACACTCCTACCCCCAGTGCCAGCGGGACCCCAGGCCTGTCCTCCTCCTTCCATTCCTGCCATGGGGCCTGGCACGGCGTGCTCCCTTGGCCCCAAGAAAGCCCTTCCCAGAGGGGGCTTTGCCTCCCGGGCTGGGCTCTGGGGTCACCATGCCCGGAAGGCCCACCTGACCCCTTGCTGAGAACAGCAGTCCCCTGCCACTTTGGATATGCACTGTCCTCTGACTGTTCCTCTCACCCACCAACACAGCATGCATGCAATTTACGAGCTGTGGGCCTGGGTCCGGCTGGAAAGTGAAGTCTCCTGGGGACACAGGTGTGCGTCCTGGATGTCCCTAGAGCAGCAGGTGGCATGTAATAGGCACTCAACAGCATTTAAGGCATATGAAGGTGTCCTTCCTATGTCTGTAACATCCCTGTATTTTGAAGTCTTTGACTCTATTTTTTAAAGTACCAATTCTAGTAAAAAGACAAGACTGCAATTTCTCTGATGTGGTTTTGCTAATGATAATCAGAAAATGATCACGGTACAGACTTGCCACTTTTTCTGAGATACCTTTTAATGTAAGTGTCACGTGGAGCCTGCAACACGCCTTCCAAACTCACTCTTGGAGGAGCAATTGAGCCGTCACGTTGGTGTCAGGTGTGTCTGAAGTGTGTTCTCTTTCAGGGATCATCTTGTGGACCACTTTGAAGACATCAGCAAAGTACTCAGCGCACTGGATAAATCCCAGTCCGGCTCCGTGTCCCTCTGCAAGATGCAGCAGGTGTTGCAGGAGTGCGGCTGTCCCCTGAAGGAGGAGGAGCTGACCAGTCTTCTGAACAGGTCTCTGGGCGTTTGGTTTCTGTTCTTGTTTCTGACAGGGTGAGGCGCATTTTTCTCGCACCGCCTTTGACACTGGGACGATCTCCCCGTGCTCCTTTGGGCTGGGCTGCGTCACAGTGCGTTTTCTCCGTGTCTCTCATGCACGTTGGAAGTCGCATCACCTTATGAGTCTGTTTTGAAACAGCGGCCCCTCTGCCCGCTGCCACCCTCATTCCCGGCCTGAGTCAACCACTTCCGGCGCATTCGGCTGACGGCTGTTGGTCCGAATATCCCCATTTCTGAGGGATGAAGTTCTAGCGCTACTTCCTGACTTTTCACTTGCAGGCAGCGCCTGTTGACTTCCTACCAGGAAGATGTGGAAACCCACAGACACCTGTCCACGTGACTCTCCAGGCTGCAGCCCTAGTTCTGGGGATCTGCGTCCAGGACTCCAGTGACCGTGGCTAGCCGATCTCTTCTTTCTGCACGGCACTCCCCCAGGATAAGCTTCTTTTTCCTGTTCATTTAGTTTCCTGTGAATCCCTGTCACTCGTTCAATCCCTGGCTCACCCCGGGGTATGCATCTCTGTGTTCAGACACTTCCTCTGAACTGCCAGCTTCATCTTTCCAAAGATGCCCCGTCATACACTTCAGCTCCCAGAGTTGTCTTGACTTATTTCGTGAGTGATTTCCTCTCCTTTGTTCTCTCTGAAACTCCCGTCATTGTTGGACATTGAACCAGCCAGCCTGTTCCCTCATGTGGTTTGAAATCTTTCTCTCTCATTTCCGTCTCTTTCTCTTTTCTTTCTACCTCCTGGGCCATTCCTTCCATTTCAGCTCCCACTCTTTCTTTTTCTTTCTTTTGAGAGTTTTGCTTCCACGATCCTGCCTCATCGTCAGATTGCCGATGTTCATTCTCATTCTCCAGACGTTCTTTCTTGCATAGCATCCTGCTCTTATTTCATGCGTGTACTATCTTGTTTCTCTGAAATTAAGAATAGACTTGCAAATTTTTCTTTGTATGAGAAATCCCTCCTCACTGTCACTGTTAAAGTGATCTTTCTCATTGGACGCTTTCCTCAAAAATATGCTTGTATGAAGAGAGGACCCCTAACAAGCAGATTAGAAGATCTGCACAGATGGGGAAGACTTGCCGGCTTTGGTCTGTACTGCAGGGGGGCCTGGATGTCTCCTTCTGGGGGGGCCCCAATGCCAGCTTTTCTTTGGTCAGATTCGCCAGAGAATAAAGTTGCCTGATAAAATACGTGACTCCCAGTTAAACTGAACTCAAGATTAATAATAATTTATAGTATGAGTACATGCCATACTGTACTTGGGATACAGTTATGCTTAAAATTTGCTGTTCTGTGAAATTCCATTCTGGTACCATGTAGGCATTGTGGTTAAGAGGACCCTGGGCTCTGCTGCCAGGAGCTGCCTGGGAGGTTGGTGGAGCTTCCTGTCTGTGCAGGAGTGGAAAAAACGACCCACAGAAACCCAGGTCCTCGTCCCTCAGCTCACCTCTGCTGGCTGATTTCACCCGACATGGAATTCTGGGCTGGTGGGTCTTTTCCTTCAGCACCGTCGTCTTGTTCATGATTCCTGGTGAGAAGTCCAGGGTCATTCTTGTCTTCGTTCCTCTGCTGGCAAGTTTTATTTTGTTTTTTGTTTTTGAAAGTCAATCGTGATGACTTGAAATGGTTTTTCTCTTCCTTTCTGTTTTTCCTGATATTTTAATTAAACAGATGCTTGTGAGTTTCCCCACAGCTCTTGGATATTCTGTCTTGGTTTCTTCCCCTTTCTTTTTAAATTTGCATTTTCTCTTGAGAGGTTTCTGTCCACACACGCTGAGCTCACTGATTCTCCTTTCTCCAACCTTGTATGGTTGCCTGACATGCCCACAAGGACACTCTCTGTTTCTCAGCCTCTGCTTTCACCTTCTGGCACCTCCTTCGGATGCCAGCACTTCCACCTCTCTGCTCACAGCACCCATTTACCCTTGCCTGGCACCCGCTTTCCCAGAGTAGCGCTTCACATCTCGCTGTTGTGTGAAATTCCCAGTCTGGTGATGCCAAAGCGCGTGTCATCCCAGAGGCCGGCTCTGGCTCGCTTGTCTGTCCAGACTGTTCTTGTCCCATGTTAGAACGGCCCACAGTCTCATTGGCGTTGACGCCAGCCACGATGCACGGCAGTAGGGGAGGGACGAGTCCTCTAGAGTGGACGCTCAGCACGCGGCTGGGTGCTTTCTCTTCGACGTGGCAGTCAGTGCCAGGGGCCACTGTTTGTGTCTCTCCTGTCTTCTCTGGGTTTTGCTAGCAACTGCTTCCAAAGCCGGGTGTGTTTTGCAGCTCTGTGTGTCACGGTCCACTGGCCCTCGGCTGGTGTGGTAGGACTGTCTCGGGCAGGGGAAATGTTCTGTGACCTCAGGGTCAAAGTCCCTCAGTGGGTCTGAGTCCCTGGGCTGCATTTGGAAGTCTCTTTTAGCTTTTTGTGGGTTTTTTTTTTTTTTTTCACCTTCAGGTAAGGCAGGAAGCCTTGAGGGGCTAGAGGAGCGTCTTAGTCACTTTCCTGGTGGCTGACACACAACACCCAACACTGGAAAAGTAAAGGAGGAGAGGTTTATTTGGCTCCCTGGGCAGCTGGCTCCAAGGGACCGTGAGGAGAGGAGGGCTGCTCGCTCACAACCTGGCGCAGAAGAAGTAGCTCTGAGCAGGGAGATAAACCCTTCCAGGACACACTGCTCCGCATCTTCCAGCCAGGCCCCGCCTCCTGGTATCAAATTTAGCTCTACTGCCACTGTCAGTCACCTTACAAAAAGACACCCCCCCCCCTTGAGTGCATGGGGCCTTTGGGACATCTAGATATAAATCATAACACAGGGCTTTCCTCGGAGCCATGAGGTCTGGTAGTGTCTCTTCCCCTGGAAAGTGTTATACAGAAGGCTCTGGGCGGGGTGACCCTTCCCCGCTCCTGGGGAACTCCAACCAGGGGATCTTCCTCAGGTCTTCACTGTGAGAAGCTGGTGGGGTCCTGCAGGGAGAACCTGTGGGCAGGTGGCACCTGAGGCTGGACCCCAGATTGTCTCCCTCATACCCACGTCAACCAGCCAGTCAGGATCACATTTACCTGTCCCCACCAGCTCATGTGCCAAGGGCTTTGCCCTTAGAAAAGCAGTCCCAGTTGTTCGTCCCTGCCTCCAGATTTCAGGGTGACATTTCTCAGTTTTCTGCTGGGCCCAGGGAAGAGTCTTCTGGGTTGTCTTGCTTTGGGGATGAGAGTTGAGCTTCCAAGTTCTCCTCATGGCCCCTCTTGCCCTACCCACCATCTTTTCATTTCTTGATTTACACTCTTCTCTTGCTGGAGTACCTCCTGAAGAAATTGCCTAAGAAAGACAGGAGAGGAAGTAAACTTTCTGAGTTATTTTTGCCTGAATCTTTTTCCCCTCTTCACATAGACTGGTAGCTTGTCTAAGCCTAGAATCCTAGGGAGAAAATCATTTTCCTTGAAAGAATCTGAAGATATCACAGCAATGTGTTCAAGCTGTGAGAAGTCCCATGCAGTTTGTGCACGCTCACACGCACGCACCTGTGTGTGTGTAAAGGAAGTGACAAGTGTTTCATCCTCAAATGCTTATATGTCCTTGTCTTTCTTAAACAGAATCTTTTCTCATCGACTCTATCTCCAAATGAATAAAAATGCATGTGCCTTGGACAAATAAACCATGGGGAAGTAGCCAAAGATTAACCACTAGCTACATGATTTTCTGAGAGTCTTATCAAAATATAGTTGTGGGCCTGCTACTTTTATAACAGCAACACAGAACTGTGCAATTTCTGTAGTCCACCTTTCAATGAGGGTGATCAACTTTTTTACATGCGGAAACCTTAATAAGGATCTGCCACATAGTTGCCTGTTTCTTCTCAAAGACCTCTTCATGATAAACGTGCTGGCTATGGGTAATTATGGGGGGATTATTCTTCTCCAGATCCAAAATAGACTTTTCTGAACAGTACGGGAGAGATTAGCATATGCATTTGATTTCATTACTCCACGTTAATACCCTTCTGATGAAGTAGTGTTGATTGGCCTTGTCCTCCGTGTCCCCCCACGAGCCATCGCGGGGCTGAGCACTGCTGCTCTGCAGCTGTGAGCTGGGAACGTCCTGCTCTTGGCTTCTCGGCTCAGAAGCAGATCGGAGTCACTGGAACTTCTCTCTCCATCTGCCTGACTCCCCACCAGGTTCCACCCTGACATTTGTGTCCCATCCAG